TTAAGTAATATAACTAATTTAGATGATCGTCTAATACAAATAAGGTGTGATCCAAGACTTGATCAAAGAGTTTCCGATCTCCTTTAGCATCTCAAGTAGTTGTTATATGGGTTGAAGATGATGAAAATACAAATATTCGTGTTTGTGATATTATTATCTATGGTCATTCTGGTGATTCACATAGAGTTCATTATTATTATGATTGTTATGACCATTTGCAGTACCCTTTATTTTTTCCATTTGGAGAATCTGGTTGACATGAATGTATTCAGAAATACAAAAAACCATTTTTTGAAATGCAAAGTTTACCCCTTTTTGGTAGCACAATAAATTCCGCAACAGAAAACACTGAACAAGAAGCTACTGGTTTGTTAATATACTTTTTAATACTCTTTTCCTTTTATATAAAATTAAATATATGAAAGTTAAGTATTCTAAATCAATGTAACATGTATTCTCTTACTTTCTATGTAGTGTTTAATGGAAGAAAGAATCGATGTCAAGTTTCTTGTCATGAATACTGTTCATACAAGTTACAAATCAGGGATTCTGGTAAGTATGTTTTACTTCATGCTGGTAGACTTTTNAGTTACAAATCAGGCATTCTGGTAAGTAGGTTTTACTTCATGCTGGTAGACTTTTCCAACAATATGTTGTAGACATGTACGTTAAAATTGAAGCTGGTAGATTAGATTATTTTCCTAACAATCAAAAACAAATTAGAGCTGAACTTTATCAAGATAATATAGATAGTGTTGAAAATGGGGAAACAAGAGGTTACAAAATCGGAAAAAAAATATTCTACCACAAAGCTTCACATGTGGTGCTAGAAATATGCTAAGAAGGTATTTAGATGCAATGGCTATTGTCCAACGTTATGGAAAATCAGATATATTTTTAACTATAATATGTAATCCAAATTGGCCAGAAATTAAACAAGAATTGAAACACAATGATGAAATTCAAAATCGACCAGATTTAGTTGTACGTATATTTAGAACAAAATTAGAAGAGTTAACAAATGATTTGTACAAAGAAAATATTTTTGATCATGATGTTGCTCATATATACACGACCGAATTTCAAAAAAAAAAAAAGGCTGCCTCATACACATCTACTATTGATTTTTAATTCTGCTCATGAAATTTCTTGTGTTGATCAAGTTGATAGGATAGTATCATCTGGAATTCCTTGTAAAAATACATATCCACATCTTTATGCTGTTATTCTAAAACACAATATGTATGGTCCTTATAGTAATCTAAATCCAAAGAATGTATGTA